ACCATTTGCAGCCACCGATCACGAATTGATCAGAAAAAAGTATCTCCGATCCCAAAGAGAAGTTCTGAATGACCCAAGGAAACTTGTTATCAGCTTCTTTTCCCATTGAAGACATCAAAATCAAAACTTTTCGAAAGAATGAAGAGAAATGAAACCCTAGAAATCGGAGTGTGAGAGTGGCACACACCCAAATTGGCAAACGAAACGCCTCATCGATTCTCCACATGGGTTTATGTTGCTGGTTTTTTACTTTCGGACTTCGGCCCAATATACCGTTTACATAGACTTGAATTGATATCTTAAAGATGCAACTTTTACAAAATTCAAGTGAGTCGTATCAACAAATTAATGTGGGAAGCAGACAATATTAAATGGAACGATTAAAAGATATTTTACTTTCTTTCCCATAAAAGCTGCGTTCTTTACAAAATCCTACCGACCGAGCCTTCTTAACCAAAAAATTAGCTCTTTACAAAATGTGAGAGAACTTCCAACTCCTACAAGAAATCTCATTAGCTTCCTATAAGTTAAAGACTCGGTACCAAGATCACACCTAGCCGAACCTAATAAGTCATCAGACAACTTCATCTAACGTTAGAGTAGGAACTCTGGTGGCCAACACCTTTGCCTTCTCTTTCTCTAATAGAGCTTCTATGTCTGACCACTTCTGCTTAAAGTTCTTCAGTTCTTCCTTTTTTTTCTCCAGCTAGACTTCAATGTCTGAGCAATTCTGCTTAACGCCATTCAGTTCTTCTTCTAGTTCTTGCATCCGAGTCTCACCAACCTGCTCTTGCTTCTTCTTTACCTTTACTTGCTCCAGCTTATGCTCCAACCAATCCACCTTAATTATTCCCGAACATTTCAAGAATGTTAGAGCATTGTCTGCTTGTATCAGATCATCACTGGAGAGCTCTTGCAGTGACTTGCACAGTGTCTTGATTAGGCTGAGGAAGACATACATGCCTGCTGTCCTCAAAGATTCGTTCTTTGCTTGGAGTTCTAATGCAATGTCTGGGTATTTTTTAAAAACAAGGCTCACAAATTCCACCTGCATATTAAGAAAAAGGGATAACTAAAGTTCAATCCCATATCTCTACCAATCCAGAAACTAAAGGGTAGACTTTTAACAACTCTAGTCCCAAAATTCAGCTACAAAGTTTGCATCTTTACCTGTGAAGGAAGCACTTGAAACCCATTAACATCAATGCTTTCCTTTACTGATGAAGTTTCCTTAAGCAAATCTTTGGGTTCAAAAGCATCATCATCATTTAGCTTAATCTTTTTGAGAGGTTTGGTTACCTCTTGAGATTCCACTGAAACATCTAAATTTCCAATAACTTTAGCATCTCTATCTCGGCAACAATCTTGACTTCATTATTCACAAGAAATCCACCATCTTTGTCATGAAGTCTTGTAAGGGGAATCATAGTTTTAAAACCAGACAAACGAATCGTCCGATCAAACACTTCTTGTTTTTCTGTAATTTCACCAAAACATATAACAATCATTAGACAACACATACGACAGAATCTTGAGCCTTAAAGTCATAAAGTAGACAAATAATCACCTTTCCGTTGGGAGAGTTTTTCTGAAATTTGATTAACGATGCTTATGGAAAATTTGGCGTGTCTAATCCATCCACAAGGCAAAGTTTTATAACCAGAAACCACAAGATACAGAGACAAACAGTTTTTATCTTTATCTCCTTTGGGATACGCAAGAAGACGCCTGCAACAGTGAAAATAATTTCAATGTCTTCGTAAACCTAAGAGTTCACGAAAAACATTACAAGACAAAGTTTAGATTTTTCTTACCATGTGCAGCCACCGACTACGAATTGATCCGAATATGTATAGTCAGATTATTATTTAGGAGAAATTCTTAATGACCCAAGTGAACTTCTTAACAGCTTCATTTCCCATTGAATTCTCCTCGCAACCAAACTACCAGAACATGAAGACAGAGAACTGAAACCCTAGAAACCAGAGTGACTGAGTGAGAGTGGCACACACCCAAAATCAGAAACCAAACGACGCTTCTCTTTACCGTGTGTGTTGCTGGCCCAATCGACTATAAAGGCCCAATTGACTACTAGGGCCCAAGGTCTGCTTGGTTACCGTAGAGGGAAACCCTAATTTTCTCTTTGTGGACTCAAATTTTTCAAATACTGTGAACTCTGGAGTCTGGATTGTAGTCACGAGAACGTCAAAAAAAAAAAAACTCAGAGTGCATATCTCAAGCTCTGACTATATGCTATGAGACAACTAACAGAGAAATCTCAATTTTTTTCTCTGACATGACAAACTTTAAGCCTCTAATTGATCTTTCTTCTCCAAATTTTCCTTACTTTTTGAGTTTTATATAAATCACAAAGTTTTTGAATCTTTGTCTTCTGATGAGATTATGTTAGGCAGAGAATGTCTGTTTAGTATATCGGATTGCTTCTTCCAATCACTAGAACATCAAAAGTACCATGGAAACAGAGCAACATATCTGAGTGAGCATATTGGTGAGATATGTACCATGAAAACCAAATTAGTGTACCACTAAATAATTAGACAACCTCAATGGCTGGAACTTCAAAACTAGCTTCGGGGATAAATGACACTCTTGTAGAGCTTTGTATATCTGAGCACTTCTGCTTCAATTCCTCATCCTTGATGAACTGTAACTGAAATCCGTTTACAGAGTCTTGAATGAGTCGACTAAAAGATATTTTACTTTCATTCTCATTAAAGCTGCGTTCTTTACAAAATCCTACAAAAAAAACTAGCTCTTTACAAAGTGTAAGAACTTCCAAATCCTACAAGAAGTCTCTCTAGCTTCCTATAAGTTAAAAGACTAATCTCATTTTGAAACATAGACTCAAATAAAGTAGAACCAGATCAAACCTAGCCCAACCTACGTCATCAGACAACTTCATCTAACGTTAGAGTAGGAGCTCTGGCAGCAACCACCTTTGCTTTCTCTTTCTCTAAAAGAGCTTCTATGTCTGACCACTTCTGCTTAAAGCTCTTCAGTTCTTCCTTCTTTTTCTCTAACAAGGCTTCAATGTCTGAGCAATTCTGCTTAACGCCATTCAGATCTTCATCTAATTCTTGCATCCTACACTCACCAATCTGCTCTTGCTTCTTCGTTTCCTTTACTTCCTCCAGCTTCTGCTCCAACCAATCCAACTTAATTCCCGAACATTTCAGGTATGTTAGAGCATTGTCTGCCTCTATCAGATCATCGTCGGTGAGCTCTTGCAGAGACTTGCACAATGTCTTGATTAGGCTGAGGAAGACATACATGCCTGCTGTCCTCAGAGATTCGTTCTTTGCTCCGAGTTGTGATGCAATGTCCGGGTATTTTTTAAAAACACGGCTAACAAATTCCACCTACAAATGAACACAAAAGGATGACTAAAGCTCAATCACATATGTCTATCAATCCAGAAACTAAAGGGTAGACTTGGGCATACATATGAATAACTGATAACGTCTCCAGAGATTAAAGACAGTTTCTATAAAGTTTGCATCTTTACCTGTGAAGGAAGCACTTGAACATCAATGATTTCCTTTACTGATGAAGTTTCCTTGACCAAATATTTCGATACCACAGCATCCTCTCGCGTTATCCTTTTTAGAGGTTGGGTTACCTCTGGAGATTTCACAGAAACATCTAAATTTCCAATAAGTTCAAGAACGTCTATCTCAACAACAATCTTTAGATCTCCGTTCACCAGAAATCCACTATCTTTGTCATAAAGTTTGATCAAGGGAATTATCTCTGGATGACCAGAAATACTTTGATCAAACCATTGCTGAGATTCTGTAAATCACGAAAGATAGAACTGATCAAAGTCAAAACAAACACGAACCCATAAATAGAATCTAGTATAGCGACACCAAGTCCCCGTGACAGGTAGAATCATAAACCATGAAATTTCCATAAAAAAAAAAAACCACACCTTTCACTTGAGAGAGATTCTCCGACAGTTGATTCACAACAGTGAGGCGATATTTCGTGTGTCTTCTCCATCCAAAAGGCAAAGTTTCAGAATCAGGAACGTCCAGATACAGAGACAAATATGTTGTGCGACTGTTAAGCACATGACTGGTATAGGCCAAAAGACGCCTGCAAGCAAAACCCATTGGATATTTAATCTGATGTCCACGCAAACCAAGATTACACAGAAAAAACAAAACATAATAAAAAACAAGCTGTCTCTTCTCACCATTTGCAGCCACCGACCACGAATTTTTCAGAATGTATTTGCATAGATTTCAAAGGGGAGAAATCCTTAATAACCCAAGTGAACTTGTTATCAGCTGCATTCCCCATTGAAACCCTAGAACCAGAGTGGAGTGAGTGTGGCACAAAATCCCCAAATCAAACCACGCTTCTCACGTATGAGTGTGCTAGACTTCACTTTATGGGCTTCGGCCCAATTTTACAACTTAGGCCCAAGGTCTGTTAGTAAACTCTGAATTGAAAACCGCAGAGAATGTCTGTTTAGTATATCGGATTGCTTCTTCCAATCTCTACACTGGAGCAACGTCTGAGTGAGCAGATTGGTGAGATATGTACCATGAAAACTAAATTAGTGTACCAATAAATTATTAGACAACCTCAATGGCTGTATACGAGTGGAACTTCAAAAATAGCTCTTTACAGAATGTGAGAACTTCCAACTCCTACAAGAAGTCTCTCTCTCTAGCTTCCTATATAAGTTAAAGACTCTATTTTTGAAACCTAGACTCAAATACAGTAGTACCAGATCACACCTAGCCGAACCTAAGTCATCAGACAACTTCATCCTAACGTTAGAGCAGGAGCTCTGGCGGCCAACACCTTTGCCTTCTCTTTCTCTAAAAGACCTTCTATGTCTGAGCACTTGTGCTTAATGTTGTTCAGTTCTTCCTTCTTTTTCTCCAGCAAGGCTTCAATGTCTGTGCAGTTCTGCTTAACCCCCTTCAGTTCTTCTTCTAATTCTTGCATCCGAGTCTCACCAATCTGCTCTTGCTTCTTCTTTACCTTTACTTCCTCCAGCTTCTGCTCCAACCAATCCAATTTAATTCCCGAACATTTCAGGTATGTTAGAGCATTGTCTGCTTCCATCAGATCATCATTGGAGAGCTCTTGCAGCGACTTGCACAATGTCTTGATTAGGCTGAGGAAGACATACATTCCAGCTGTCCTCAGAGATTCGTTCTTTGCTCCGAGTTGTGATGCAATGTCTGGGTATTTTTTAAAAACACGGCTCACAAATTCCGCCTGCATATGAATAAAGTTAAATCCCATATGTATACCAATCCAGAAACAGAAGTGTAGACCTTTATTAACAACTCTAGTCCCAAAATCAAGGAACACGTCTTCAAAGGTTAAGGTTTCTACAAAGTTTGCATCTTTACCTGTGAAGGAAGCACTTGAAACCCATTGACATCAATGCTTTCCTTTACTGCCAAAGTTTCCTTAAGCAAATCTTTCGATTTTGCATCCTCCTCTCGCTTTATCTTTTTTAGAGGTTGGGTTGTCTCTTTAGGTTCCTCTGATACATCTCGTTTACCAATTACTCCAAGAACCTCTATCTCGGCAACAATCTTGACTACTCCGTTCACCAGAAACCCACCACCTTTTTCATGTAGTGTGGAATATGGAATCATTTCAGGAAAACCTGAGAGGGTAGTCTTCTGATCAAAGCACGTCTGTTTTTCTGTAATTTTATGATGAAACATATAACAATCATTGCGCAACACAACACATAGAAATAGAATCTCATATAGCCTTATAAAAAAAAAAGAATCATAGAAAAGTAATCACTTTTCAGTTGGGAGAGTTTTTCTGAAATTTGATTGACTATACTTAGGGAGAATTTGGTGTGACTCATCCATCCATGAGGCAAAGCTTCACGATCAGAAACCTCTAGATACAGAGGCAAAAAGCTTCTATTACCATCTCCTTTGGGAAAAGTGAGAAGACGCCTGCAACATTGAACATAATTTCATGTCCTCCTCATAAACACCTTAAATTACACGAAAAAAAAACTTAGATTTTTATTACCATTTGAAGCCACCGATTACGAATTGATCAGAATAATTAGACCCAGATTGCAAAGCAGAGAATTTCTGAATGACCCAAGTGAACTTGTTATCAATTTGATTCTCCATTGAAGACAGAGAAACCCTAGAAACAGAGTCGGATGACACACCCCCAAAATCCCCAAATCAAAACCACACTTGTCCAAATGTGTTTGTGTTTGCTAGACTTCACTTTATTTGGGTTCGGCCCAATTTACTATTTAGGCCCAATTTTGCCTTCTCTTTCTCTAACAAAGCTTCCATATCTAAGCACTTCTGGCTTAAAGTGCTAATGTTTATACTCTGACTTGGAAACAGAGTACATATATCAGGGAACTGTTGCTATGAGACAAATTTAGTGTACCAATAAATAAACAAACAACCTAAGATGGTTCAAGTGGAGCTTAAAAACAGCTTATGAGCTGAGGGGATTGTTGTTTTTCTTGATGAATTGTAACCTCATGAAAATAAACTCGGTTTACGAACAAAGTTAAGCTTGAGCAACTTAATAAGCTTACATTATTACTCAAGCGTTCACTTAATAGCTTAACCTTTGCCGCGAATTGCGATAAGTGAGACGAGACAACTAATAGACTGAAGTTAACTACCACCTCTTGTCCCAAAATCAGCAAAATAAAAGAAGAAGCAAATGACAACTTCTATAAAGTTTGCATCTTTATTACCTGTGAAGGTAGAACTTGAAACCCATTGACATCCACCGAATCTGCTGGAGTTTCCTTAAGCAAATCACTGGTCACAACACCATCATCATTCATCTTTTTCTTTTTCAGAGGTGGGGTTGCCTCCTGCGTTTCCTCTGGCACATCTAATTCGCCAATAACACTAAGAACATCTATCTCTACAACAATCTTGACTTCTCCATTCACCAAAAACCCACCATTTTTGGACTTAAGTTTACCAATCTCAATCATGCGTTTATAACCCCAGTCCGATTCCTTCTGATCAAACCAGTGTTCTAATTCTGAACGACCACAAAGACCATATTTCCTTTCATAATCGTTTACAATTCCCGAATAAAGCAACGACATTGAGCTAAAATCCCATAACATATATATAATCATATAAAATATACTCATAAAGTAGGAGACGTAGAAAAGAATCACCTTTCACTTGTGAGAGTTCCTCTGAAAACTGATTTACTACAGTTAAGAAAATCTTTGCGTGTCTTCTCCATCCAAAATGCAAATATTCAGCATTAGCAACCACTAGATACAAAGACAAATGACTAGCGCAATTATTTCCCTTGGGAAATGCTTTGAGACGCCTGCAAGCAAAAAAAAAAACCCAACAATGGATGTCTCACATAAACCCTTGAAACGGACTAAAAATATTAGAAAAAAAGCGTCTGCTTTATTACCATGTGCAGCCACCGATCAAGAATTCATCCGAGTAGATTTTCTTAGATTGCAAAGAAGAGAAATTCTTAATGACCCACGTGAACTTGTTATCAACTTGATTCCCCATTGAAAGTGAAAACTCCTCAAAATCAAACTGTCAGAGAGAGAATGAAGAGAAATGAAACCCTAGAACCAGAGTGAAAGTGGCACACTCAAATTCGCAAATCAAACCCCTGATTCTTTTGCGTTGCTAGTCTTCATTTTTGGACTTTGGCCCAATTTACCATTTAAGCCCAAGATCTTCTTTTTTCTCGGAGTTCTTCGTTACCGTTTAAAGGAACCATTTTGAGCTTTTCTGAGTTCTCAATCTCGCCGCCCTCTTCAGAGTTCTCAGATATTGCATTAGAAGTCTGAAGGGTATAGTATAGAGTTATGATGTTGAAACTTCAACAAAGTTTGCATCTTTCTTAAGTTTTTGTTAGCAGTGAAGGAATAACTTGAAACCCATTGACATCAATGCTTTCTTTAACTGATGAAGTTACCTTGTGCAAATCACTAGACTCCGCATTATGATCATCATCTAGGTTGGGTTGCCACTTCAGATTCCCCTGATACATCTCATTTGCCTATAACTTCAAGAACATCTACTTCCACTCAATTTCAGAACCCGAGTTTTGTTTTGTTTTTGTTTTTCTTCAAAATGAGAAGCCAAGAGATTGTATGATGTTGGAATGAAGACATATCTTACTTTTTTCCATTGAAGCTGATTCCTTTACAAATACTAGCGAGTCTTCTTAACCAAAACAATAGTTCTTTACAAAATGTGAGAACATCCAATTCCGACAGAAGTCATTCTAGCTTCTAAGTTAAGACTCTAATTCTGAAACCTAGAATCAAACGAATATACGGTACCAGAGACACACCTACACAAAGTGCCAAACCTAAGACATCAGACAACATCATCTAACGCTAGAGGAGTAGCAATGGCGGCCAACACCTTTGCCTTCTCTTTCTCTAGCAGAGCTTCTATGTCTGAACACTTCTGCTTCATGTCCTTCAGTTCTACCTTCTCTTTCTCCACCAGAGCTTCTCTGTCTGAGCACTTCTGCTTCAGGACCTCCAGTTCTACCCTCTCTTTCTCCACCAGAGTTTTTTTGTCTGAGCACTTTGTGTTAAAGTCCTTGAGTTCTTCCTCTAATTCTTGCATACAAGTCTCACCAGTCGGCTCTTCCTTCTTCTTTTCCTTTACTTCCTCCAGTTTCTTCCCCAACCAATCCACCTTAAAGCCCGAATTTTTCAGGTATGTTAGTGCGTTGTCTGCTTCCATAAGCTTGTATTGCAGGCCCAATTGTCTATTTCGGCCCAATTTCAGAGCTAAACCCTTGCAGGCGATTATCAGCGCTTTACAAAATCCTTCTGAGTCCTCGTCTTAATCCAAAGATTAGTTCTTTACAAAATGTGGGAACTTCCAAGTCTCTCTAGCTTCTTATTAGACACTAATTTTGGAACCTAGCCTTAAACGAGTACCAGAACAACACATAGCTGAATCTAAGCCATCAGACAGCATCATCCAACGTTAGAGGAGGAGTTCTAGCGGCCAAAACCTTTCCCTTCTCTTTCTCTAGCAGAGCTTCTTTCTCTGAGCACTTCTGCTTCAAGTCCTTCAGTTCTTGCTTCTTTTTCTCCAGCAAAGCTTCTATGTCTGAACACGTCTGGTTAAAGTCCTTGACTTCTTCCTCTAATTCTTGAACCCGAGCCACGCCTTTCTGCTCTTCTTTCTTCTTTGCCTTTACTATCTGCCCGACATTTTCAACCATGCTAATGCAGCGTCTGCTTTCATCAGATCTTTATTGGAGAGCAATTCAAGTGACTTGCACAACGTCGCAATTAAGCGGATCAGGAAATCTATGGTCATTCTCTTCATATGATGGTTCTCGAAAACATTTCCTACAGCAATGTCTGGGTGTTTCTTAAATATATAGCTCACTAATTCCACCTGTGGAGTGAAAAAAGGATTCAATAGAGTAAACCCACCAATATACATATCCATAAACTGAAGGGCAGTGACTGACTTTAACCATCTCTTTAGGTTGAAAATTCAACAAAGTTTGCATCTTTATTAACTTTGAAGGAACAACTTCAAACCCATTGACATCAACTCTTTCAATAATTTCTTGGGTTATCTCTTCACCGTCCTCTGATATATCTAAATTGCCAATAACTTCAAGAACCTCTACCTCCAAAACAATCTTGACTTCTCCATTCACAGCAAACCCACCATCTTTGTCATGAAGTTTGGAAAGGGGAAGCATTTCTAGGAAACACAAGGTGTTGTTTTTCCGATTAAACCAGTATTCTCTCTCTGTAATGTAGTCACAAAAAACATAAAAACACCAATTCAAAACAAGCTTTCCACAACACATCAATAGAAACTCGTAGCAGCACAAACTCGTAGATTCATAAAAATGTGAACTTTCACAATCTAAAAGTAGCGAGCAGAGATAAAGAAAACCACACCTTGCACTTGGGAGAGTTTCTCCGAAAGCTGATTTACAACAGTTAGGCGACATTTTGCTTGTATTCTCCATTCACGAGGCAAAGTTTCAGAATTTACAACGTCAAGACGCACAGAGAAATAATATGTCTTACCATTTAACCAGGGACAGGACGTAAGACGCCTGCAAGCAAAAAAACTATTGGAGATATCATAAATCTGATGTCCTCGTACACCTAAATTGGACTCAAACTATCAGTAAACAAATTGGATTCTTGCCATTTGCAGCCACCGATCAAGAATGGATTAGAATATTGCAGATAATGACCCAAGTGAATTTCTTATCATCTTCATTCCTCATTAAACTCCTCACGACCAAACTACCAAAAGATGAAGATCAAACCCTAGAACCGTAGTGAGAGTGACACCCCCCCCCCCCCCCAAATTCACAAATCAAACCATGTTTTCTCCCATGTGGGTTTGTATTGCTGGGCTGGCCCCTTATATCGTTTGGCCCCAAAAGTCTATAAATTTTCAAATACGGTAACACTCTGAGTTGTGGAGGCAAGTAACCTAGAAACCGAGTGTATATTTAATATCTCAAGCTACTATATACTATGAGACAAGTAGAAGAGAAATCTCCATTTTCTCAACTCCTACAAGAAGTCTCTGTAGCTTCAAGTCAAGACTCTGATTTTGATACCTAGAATTGTTTAGAGTCTTGACGAATAGATCAGCATAGATTTGTTCAGATTGCAAAGAGAAGAAATTCTTAATGACCCAAGTGAACTTTTTATCAACTTGATTCCCCATTGAAGATATAAAAGACGACAAGTGAAACCCTAAGAACCGGAGTCTCCATATGTATATAAGTTTTAGTTTTACTTAATCATTCTTGTAATTTAGATATATAAGACCAAAATTAAGCTAGAGGGTCCTTCTCCATTCGACAAAAAACTATTACATTAAAAATGTGGAAACTTCCAATATATGGCAATATCTCCTTCTAGACGTAAGTCATAAGAAAACATCATCAAACTTTCGAGGAGCTCTCGCGGCCAACACTTTTGCCTTCAAGTACTTCAACTCTTTCTCCATTTCTAGCATCCGTGCCTCACAAGCTTCCTCTTTCTCCTTCTTTTCTGGCACTTTATTCAGTTTCTTCTCTAACCAATCCAACTTAAATCCAACATCTTTCAATGATGTTACCGAGTCATACGCATCAGCCAGATCATCCTTTGAGATTGCCCGAGGTGACCGGCACAAGGTCTCGGTCAGGCTGAGTAAGACATTCATGTACGCTGTTTTCAGAAGTGGGTTCTTTTGATGGACTTCTAATGCAACGTCTGGGTGTTTTTCAAAAACACGCCTCACAAAATCCATCTGCAAGTATGAAAAAAGGATGAAATAAAGTTGAACCCATGCATATACACACATATGGTTGAAACTTCTACAAAGTTTGCATCTTTCTTAAGTAACTTAATTACTTGTGAAGGAAAAACATGAAACCCATTGACATCTATGCTTTGATTTACTGGTGGAGTTTCTTTTTCAGAGGTGGGGGGGTGGGTGTTGCCTCCTCAGTTTCCTCTAGCACATCTAATTCGCCAATAACACTAAGAACATCTATCTCTACAACAATCTTGACTTCTCCATTCACCAGAAACCCACCATTTTTGGACTTAAGTTTGCCATTGTTAATTATGCGTTTACAACCCCAGACCGAAACCTTCTGACCAAACAAGTGTTCTCTTGATTCTGAAGGTCAACAAAAGCCATATTTCCTTTCATAATCGTTTACAATTCCCGAATAAAGCAATGACATTGAGCCAAAATCCCACACACATATATTAAAATACTCATAGAGTAAGAGACGTAGAAAAGAAGAATCACCTATCACTTGTGAGAGTTCCTCTGACAACTGATTTACTACAGTAAAGGAGACCTTTGCGTGTCTTTTCCATCCAAATTGCAAATATTCAGCATTAGCGACCGCCAGAAACAGAGACAAATAATTATCGATATTATTTCCCTTAGGATAGGCCTTAAGACGCCTGCAAGCGAAAAAACAACAACAACAATGGATGTCTCACATAAACCCTTCAACGGACTAAACCATTAGAAAAAAAGAGAATAAATTTTCTAACTATTTGCAGCCACCAATGATGAATTCATCAGAATAAATTATCTCCGATTTCAAAGAAGAGAAATCCTTAATGATCCAAGTGAACTTGTTATTAACTTCATTCCCCATTGAAAACTCCTCAAAATCAAACTGTCAGATAGTAGAACAAAGAGAGATGACACCTAGAACCGGAACGAGAGTTGCTGTCGAACTCCTACCCGTTTATAACAATTTATAAATAATTTGATTTCAAATTTAATTTGTCGTGTAAACACTAAACTAAATTTAGTTCTTAGGGTTTTGAATATACCTGAATATTTTGCAGCAGAAAGATGAATCAAAACGATTCGAGATGTTTAGCACTCCAAGTGTTGTGTCCCAAGTCCCAACCTGTATCCACACACACTAACTAGATTGAAACAGAATACCAGTACCGGTAAGATCGAATCTAAAAACTCAACAAATTGTCCTTAGGGTTTTAATCGGCTAGTGAAAAATAATAACCAAGCATTATATCATTATATAATAGTATAATACACGTATGACCGACCTAATCATTGGTTAATGGACCAAGTCCATTCACGTAATTATAATTTTCTCTTACGGTAAGATATTATTACTTTATTCTCTTTATTATATCTCACGAGCACACATTTAGGTCCAAGTTCTGCTTCGTCTCTCAGAGAAGTTGTTCTGTCAACAAACACTTTTGCCTTCTCTTTCTCCAGCAAAGCTTCCATATCTAAGCAATAAAGTCCTCCAATTCTTCCTCTAGCTCTTGCATCCGAGTCTCACTGATCTGCTTTTGTTCTTTGTTAAACTACAAATTTTCAGATACCGTAAACTCTGATTCCTAGTCACTAAAACAGTGACCTAGAAAGAGAGTGACCTATGAGACAAGTAAGCGATAAAACTCCATTTTTTTCCTTGACACGACAAACTCTAAGCTAATTGATCTTTCTTCTCCAATCTTCCTTACATTTTTGAGTTTTTATTGTGTGATTGGTCAGATAAATGTAAGACATCAGACAACATCATCCAACGTTAGAGGAGTAGCAATTGCGGCCAATATCTTTCCCTTGTTTTTCTCTAGCAAAGCTTCTATGTCTGAACATTTCTGCTTCATGTCCTTCAGTTATACTTTCTCTTTCTCCAGCTTAGCTTCTTTGTCTAAGCAATCCTGCTTAAAGCTCTGGAGTACTTCCTCTAATTCTTGCATCCGAGCCACACCGATCTGCTCTTCCTTCTTCTTTAATTTCTTTTACTGTCTCCAGTTTCTTCTCCAACCAATCCACCTTAAAGCCTGAATCTTTCAGGTATGTTAGTGCATTGTCTGCTTCCATTAGATCTTCATTGGAGAGCTCTTGAAGTGACTGGCTCAGCGTCTCGATTAAGTTGAGGAGGACATTCATGCATGCTTTCCTCAGTTGTTGGTTCTTTGAACGGACTTCTAATGCAATGTATGGATGTTTTTTGAATATACGCTTCACAAGTTCCACCTACGAGTGAAAGAAAAGATGAATAAAGTAAAATCCCATATCAAGAAACTGAAGGTTGACTTTGTAAGATGCAAAATGCTAACATGTCTTCATAGGTTAAAGTTTTCTACAAAGTTTGCATCTTACTTGTGAAGGAAGAACTTGAAACCCATTGACATCAATGCCTTCGTCTTTTACCGATGAAGTTTCCTTGAGCAAATCTTTCGATCCAGCAGCATCCTCTCGCTTAGGTAGGGTTGTTTTTTTAGGTTCGTCTAATTCGCCGATGACTTCAAGAACCTCTACCTCCTCAACAATCTTGACTTCTCCGTTTACCAGAAACCCACCATCTTTGGTATGAAGTTTGGAAATGGGAATGATGGCTATAAAACCAAAGAAGGGAGACTTCTGATCAACCCACTTGGCATTTTCTGTAATTTCACAAAACATATAATTAACAATCATTGCACAACCACATAAGATAGAATCTCACAGCCTTATAAAAAAGAATCATAAAGAAGTATAAAAAGCATACAAAAATAATTACTTTTCTGTATGGAGAGTTTTTTTGGACTTTGATTTACTATGCTTATGGATAAATTTGTGTGTATTCTCCATCCACAAGGCAAACTTTTATAATCAGAAACCCACAGAAACAGAGACAAACACCATCCTTATCTCTATTGGGAAATGCCATAAGATTCCTACAAGCCAAAAAAACAAAAAAACACATTTTGAACATGATTTGTTGTCCTCGCAAAACCTAAATTGGACTAAAAAATACATTAGAAATTTTTAGTTTTTTCTTACCATTTGCAACCACCAATAACGAATTTATCAGAACACATAAACGGACATTCCGAAAAGGATAAATCTTTAATCATCCAAGTAAACTTCTTATCAGCTTTTTTCCACATTGTTCTTGATATTGGCTCCTGCAAACTCAAAATTGTAAATCAATTAAAAAAAAAAATCTCGACAAACAAAGCCAATTTTTTCTTACAAGTAACCACATTTGACAAAACGTGGAGAATGTTCAAATTGGAAGAAAGCATTTACCCTCTCTGAGTCACCAAACTACCAAAACATCTTGAAGTCGATAAGTAAAAAACCCTTGAAGGCTAGAACCCTAGTGAGAGTGGCACGCACACACGTAAATCGCAAATCAAATCCCAAATTTTGGACTTGGGCCCAATTTACAATTTCGGCCCAAGATCTGCTTTGTCTCTTCTACGTTACTTCGGAAAACAGAGTGCATATTTCTGTTTTTTTTTACTAAAGATATGAACAAAAATCTATGAGGTACATGTGAAGTCGAACCACAAAAACAAAACTAGTGAACCACTGAACAATAATAAAAAAAAAAACTTCAAGTACTCTACAAATGGAGCTCAAGCCGCTTAGGAACAAAAAAAATTACTTTCGAAAATATGGAAGCTTGCAATTCCGACATAGATCTCTAGACTCTAGCTTCCTAAGATTTAAGAGGACTCAAATTTCGAAACATACAAACAAACCGACCAGAACAGAGCAAATTGATCAGACAACATCTTCCAACGTTAGAGAAGCTCTTCTAGCAGCAAACATGTTTGCCTTCTCTTTCTCCAACAAAGCTTCCATGTCTAAGCATGTTTTCTTAATGTCCATCAATTCTTTTTCTAGCTCTTGCATCCGAGCCTCGTTGATCTCCTCTTCCTTCTTCTTTTCTTTTACTTGGTCCAGCTTTATCTCCAACCAATCCAACTTAAACCCCGCGTCTTTCAAGTATGTTAGCGCGATGTCTGCTTCGACAAGATCTTCATTGGAGAGCTCCTGAAGTGATTGGCACAACGTCTCGATTAAGCTGAGAAGGAAATTCATGCATGCTTTCCTCAAATATTGGTTCTTTGGACGGACTTCTAATGCAATGTCTGGATGTTTTTCGAAAATACGCCTCACAAAATCCACCTGCGAGTGAAGAAAAGGAAGAAACTGAAAGGTATATAGACTTATGAGGTTGACAACAAAGTTTGCATCTTTCTTAAGTTTTACTTACTTGTGAAGGAAGAACTTGAAACCCATTGACATCAATGCTCTCCATTACCGGTGAAATTTCCTTGTGCAAATTAATAGAATCCGCACTATCATAATCTAGCTTGATCCTCTTTAGAGATTGGTTTGCCTCTTCACTTTCCTCCAATACATCCAATTTGCCGATAACTTCAAGAACCTCAACTTCCGCAACAATCTTGACTTCATCGTTCACAAGAAATCCACTATCTTCGTCATGAAGTTTGGTAAGGGGAAGCATAGCTGACAAACCCCAACCAGGAATCTTATGATCAAAGCATTTGTTTGCTTCTACAAAATCACAAAACAGAGTTTCCACGTAAATCAATACATTTACACTGAATAGACAAACATCAATATAAAACTAATGTAAAATCACCAACACAAAACACTTGAGCAGCAACGTAAAATTCCAGTCCCAAAACGAGAGTCACACAAAAATAATCATGTAAAATCCTGTAAAATAACATTTATCACATAGCTTTGTAACTATATCTTTTTGTCTGAATAATGAGAAGATGTAACAAAAACGTTTTATCTGGGAATTGTTACTCGTCTAACTGATAATTAATGTGTTTATATGAAATATAGTCATATTTAAAATAATCACCGTTTCGTTTGGAGCATTTTCCGGAATTTTGGTTAACAATTGTCAGGAGATATCTTGCATGTCTTCTCCATCCACTTGGCAATGATTTATAATCAGCGACTTCGAGAAACAGAGAGAAATAACCACTCTTATTAAATCCCTTTGGATACGCGAGAAGACGCCTGCAAAAAAATAAACACAGAACCAAATAATCACCAAAACGAAAGAGAAAGTCTTGTAAACATATTGAATTGGACGAAGTGACAAGGTTTATCATATTTATACCATTTGCAGCCACCGATGACGAATTCATCAGAAGAAACGACCTGAGATTGTAAAGTAGAGAAATTCTCAATCACCCATGTGAACTTGTTATCAGCTTGATTCTCCATTGAAGATAACTCTTGCAACCTTTACTACGACAACAACATGCAGAGTGGGCGTGAAACCCTAGGAACAGAGTGGCACTGACACTGGCGCACACACACCAAATTTTTAAATACAACCAATTTGGGTTTATGTTGGTAGACTTAATTTAATGGGCCTTCTTGGCCCAATTTACAATTCGGCCCATTGTCTGTTTTGTCGCTGAGTCCTTGGTTACTGAAACTTGAGATCTCAAGCACTAGTTAATCATTCTCTTTTGACTTCTTTTTTGCTACTTTTAACTAGAAAATGTTCGAACAATGTAAACTCTAATCCGTTGTCACTAGAACATCAAATTATTCAATGCGACAATGTCAATGCAGTGACTAGGATATAGAGTTACAAATTGCCATGTTACGAGCTATGACACAACAAAAGAGAAGATTTACCAATGAATGATCAAACAAAAAAAAAGACTCAACAAATGGTGCTTAAGAAACCTTTGCAGAGAATTATATTTTTTCCTTGATACAAATTAATTGGGTTTAAGAACAAAGTTAAGCTTAGCTTTTGCCGGCGATAATCCGATTACATAGTTATGAATGAGACAACTAGTCATCTCAACAAAAAGATTAGTTCCTTGCAAAATATAGGAGCTTCCAATTCTACAAAAGTCTCTCTAGCTTCCTATGTTAGGACTCTAATTTTGACACCTAGACTCAAACGAACATACAGTACCACAACACCTAGCCGAACCTTAGTCATCAGACAACATCATCCAACGTTAGAGAAGGAGCTCTAGCGGCCAATACCTTTTCCTTCTTTTTCTCTAGCAAAACTTCTATGTCTGAACACTTCTGCTTCAAGTCCTTTAGTTCTTCCTTCTCTTTCTCCAGCCGAGCTTCTTTGTCTGAGCACTTCTGCTTACAGCACTTCAATTCTTCCTCTAATTCTTGCACCTGAGTCTCAGCAATCTCCTCTTCGATCTTCTTTTACTTTACTTCCTCCAGTTTACGCTCCAACCAATCCACCTTAAAGCCCGAATTTTTCAGGTATGTTAGTGCATTGTCTGCTTGCCCAAGGTCATCAATGGAAAGGTCTCGCAGTGACTGGCACAGCGTCTTGATTAGGTTGAGGAGGACATTCATGCATGATGTCCTCAGATCTTGGTTCTTTGCTGGGAAGTTTAATGCCATGTTTGGGTGTTTTTCGAATATATGTTTCACAGATTCCGCCTGCAGTTGAAAAATGGTGGATAAAGTAAAAAGCCATATGTTTACGAGTCCAGAAACTAAGGGTAGGCAATCATTTGCTTTTAACCCAGAACTCTAAATCCAAAAACGTTATCATTTGCTTTTAATCCAGAAACCACCTCTTGTCCGAAAATCAACGACATCAAAAGCTAAGGATAACGTCTCACAAGTTTGAAACCGAGAGAGTTAATCAGTGTATCAAATATGATCCTATCTAACAGAACATATTGGGTTGCCATTCTAAAAAGTTTGTTACCTGTGAAGGAAGAACTTGAAACCCATTGACATCAATGCTTTCCTTTACTGATGAAGTTTCCTTATGACTAGACACATCACCATCATTGTTTAGCTTTGTCTTTTTCAGAGGTTGGGTTGCCTCCTCAGCCTCTTCCGGTACATCTAATTTGCCAATAACATCAAGAACATCTACCTCTGCGACAATCTTGACTTCTTCGTTCACAAAAAGTCCACCACTTTTGTCATGAAGTTTGGAAAGGGGAATCATTTCTGGATAACCCGAGACATGACGGTTTCCATCTAACCAGACCTGTGTTTCTGGAAATCACCAAAGATAGAACTGATCTTTGTCAAAACAAACACAACAGCACAAGTCCCGTGACAGGTAGAATCATAAAAATATGAAATTTCTTTCCTCGGAGATAT